TCTCTCGGTCGATTTAACGAAAAATTTGGTCCATCAACCGAGTTTTGATCGTGTAGGTCTGTTGCGAACTTTTGCCGTAGCGACAATAATAGTGACGTCTTAAATTCACTCTTAAATCTTCAGAAATGAGTCGTGTACAGGGTGTCTACAAGTCAGGAAATATTACCGATTTTTTAAGGGCGGTCCGGAAGTACTGAAAAAGTGCGTGAATTTCGCAAGAAGGCCCGGATCTTTCTCAAAAATTTTGTCATATTTATCGCAATTTGAGCGAGATATTCAAATTTTTAAAATTTTTCGCATTTCGTCAACAGGAGGTACTGTAAAAGAACTGAATCTTCTTTATTGAGGAGGTACTGAATTTCTTGGGAATGCACCAAAAAAGTACCGTAAAAGTACTGATTTTTGGCTAGCCTGTTTTAGTATACATCTCGCTGAAGTTATAATTTTACCCGTGAAACCCCCCTCCCCCTTCCCATGTTGCCAAATCACGGAAAAATCTTCCGAATTTGAAGGAAAATAGTCACGGTTTTCCCAGCGAATTCGTTTTTATCGAAGGAAACATGGCAACGTCTACAGGCTCATGAGGCGTTTTTCCTTCAGCGCGGTAGAGTGCTCGGTCCGCATAAAGTTATGATACCCAAGCGGGTAAAAACTTCCTGCTCAAAGGAATAAAACCAGCTCAGGAGGAGCTGTCAGAAAGTTCGCAGTCTCCGACTTTTCCCCATAATTCCTTCCTTCGAAACCGCACACCGCACGCACTCATGTATTTTACCCACTGACACAATGCACATCCATTCTCATCCGGGGGGATTATCATTTGCGTCCGCGGAAACTCCTCCTTTTTTTAATTATTTATCGATGCGATTTACATGATTTTATTCTCCAGCGCGGGGGGTTTTTTCGTTTCGGCGGGGAAAAGCAACCTGGAAAAGGGCGAGTGGGCGGGTGGACTTGGATGTCGGCCGCGCGGCGGCCTATATAGCCGCGCTAAGGTGAAACGTCATATGAACCTTCCGGCGCTGCCACATTTCCTTCGGTAAATCACGGATTCTCGGGGAAATTGGTAATATTTCTCCTCCGATTTTTCGGATAATTTTGTTGGCAGTTTCACCAAGAGTTCCTGAAAATTTCAAGGAAAAATATTCATAACCTCCTTCAAAAATTGCCTTTTTCTGAGAAGGAACTTGGCAACTCTCGAATGTTCATACGGTGTTTTTCCTTAGCACGGCAGTATAGATCTTGCGATCAGATACTGACATACTGGATTCTGAAAGTCGGATGTGCATTGTACGGAGCTCTTGTAAATGGGCCGCGTAAAGCAGAAAGGAACCAAGCCACTTTAGCTATTGCCAAATTTACACGGAGGAAAAAACTTCCTGCATGGGACCCGAAGTTGAGGTCATATGGATCTCTGAAGTTTTCTGATCACGCATCCGGAAACTTGAGGTCGAGCTGCCGAAGTTCGGGTCAGACATCGAGGCACTTCGGTATGTACCGGAGTACTTCAGATGTGTGGCCCAAACCCTTCGGTATTTATCGGAGTACTTCAGATGTCTGACCCGAACTTCGGCAGCTAGACCTCAAGTTTTTGGATACGTGATCCGAAAACTTCAGAGATCCATATGACCTCAACTTCGGGTCCACGATCCCACGCACGAATTTTTTTCTCCATTTAAATGTTCGTGTCGCAGGCGAATAGTGAAATCAGACATTTTGTCAAATGCCTAGGCAGATAATCAAATTTTGACGGTTTACAAAATTTTGTGAATTTATGGCGAGGAGCTCACGATTTTTCACCATTTTTGGAAAAATAACTCATCGGACCTACGAACTTTCTTTGTCTCTTCCTCTTCAATCGCTTCTCATATTTTCAAATGTTGAAATTCCAAAAATTCTGTATTTTACGACATGCTGAAAATTTCAAGATCAGTGTCTCTTTAGGAGCTAAAAATTGTTAGAAATACCATTGTGGGTACTTTTTACTGAGAATTTGTTCTTGCAGGAGCAATGAATTATTTTGTCTGGAATTAGGAAAAGAATCAGAATTTCAATCTAAGTTAGAACATTTGACCATTTGCCTGGGCATTTGACAAGATGCCTGATTTTACTATATGCCTGCGACAGAAATACGGAGTTGTCAGCGTTAACAGTTCCCAAATTTTGTCCGACTTAGTCTCCTATTGACGCGACCCATTCTGCGGCGCACAGTGGATCGAGTCAAACCAAAAGGTCGGACATGAAATTTTTGACCAAAACTGCACATTTTAATGTTTATTCTATCAAATTGTAAATTTCGAGGGGTAACTCTTGAAGAAAATTCAACGAAAAAACCAATGAGACTATTTTTAAGACCAAAAAGTTTGTGAAAACTTGAGCTATGAGCTTTTGAAGTTTCCAAATTTTGTCCGACTTCTTTCATTGGCTCGATCCATCGTGCGGCGCCTTTCCTCTCGCAAGAGCACCCCGAAAAAAATAATATGCTGTTTTAGCATCTAGGATGTCAAAAATATGTCTGGTGATCCCAAGATGCTGCCTTTACTGCCCCCGCAGTTGAATTTGCATTCACAGGATGTAAAATTAACTGCGGGGGCAGTAAAGGCAGCATCTTGGGATCACCAGACACATTTTTGACATCCTAGATGCTATAACAGCATATCATTTTTTTCGGTGCACACGTTCATTGTTTCGGTGCCGAAAAGTGAAAAACGCCAGGAAAAAGAAGCCGCTCAATATAAAAATACCGGAGTGGCCACGCGTAGTCGGTCGCTATAATTACACCCGCAGGTGGCGTTTGTTAATATTTTCCCTCTCATAGACGAAATTAAAATAAACACACAAACGCGAGAATGACGTGTCTCGAGCCCGCTGCGCTGCCCCTGCAGCCTCAAGTATGAGCTGTTTCAACTGGGCCCTCCGCTTTCGGGCGGCTCCGATCTGAACCGGCGATCAAATTATTATTTTTACACCTTCACTCTAAAATCCTCACTCGTGAAGACTCGAGATAGGTGAGACGCAGGTATGCTCCAGAGTGCCTTTATAGGGAGAGTATGGACAGCTCGAAAATTTAGAGGTAAGATTTGATCAGGTCATGTAGCTCTTGAGGCCCAAAAGTGCAGCCACCCTATGAACTCGAATCATCCAGGGGTACTGATTTTCACAATTCTTACTACCCGTCGTTTCATATATTATAAAAGCTCGTATAAAACTTTGATTTCGCATAAATGGAGATGTTGTACGTGTGAAGAATTTGCGACTTGACTGTTGATTCTTATGTAAAAGTTCGCGAGAAACACGATGGTGCCACTGGTTTTCTCTGAAATCATCTCCCAAGCCTAAAAAAAGCTCTCAAAGTGAGGCCAAAATGGAGGGGATATCTCGCCCTACCTAGAGTCCCTTTATACCCAGAGTTACGACAACTCGATTATCAGCTGACTGACAGCCGGCCTTGGCTGGCCATGGAGGCCGAAACGAGTGCACCCAAACGAACGATATTGAGGGATAAGGATCAGGAATCCTGCGATATCTGTCACACAAAAACAACAACATCAACAAACTGATCAATTAAAAATAAAATGAGATTGGTTTGTGAATAATTTCTTAATCTATTTTCATTTTGGACCGATGGAAATAACAATTTACTCTTGATAAACCACAATTAGGTAATATTTTCATTATTCTTGTTCACATACGAGGTACCGCCATCTTGGTGCACTCGTTTCGGCCTCCATGAGCGAGAACCAATCAGAATTGGATTTTTTTTTAGGCCACTTTCAGCCCAACCCTGGCCCAACCAAAAGTGAGTTGTCGTAACTCTGGGTATAAAGGGACTCTAGCCCTACCCTGAGAGTCCACCTCTACATCAAAACAAACTCTCCATGTAAAGATAGGGAGCAAATACATTAGCAGGGCTGCCACTTTATTTGGGGACTCCAAAACTGAAAACACGGCAACCCTGCTATGTATTTGCTCCCTATCTTTGCATGGAGAGTTTGTTTTGATGTAGAGGTGGACTCTCAGGGTAGGGTGGGATATCCTCTCCATTTTGGTCTCACTTTGAGAGCTTTTTTTGAGCTTGGGATATGATTTCAGAGAAAACCAGTGGCACCATCGTAATTCTCGCGAACTTTTACATAAGAATCAATGGTCAAATCGCAAATACCCCACACATGCAACATCACCATTTTGCATAAATCTTCTTCCATCTCCATCCATTTTTAAGCCGGCTCTGAGAACCACTCTCAAAAAAACTGCACAGAATGACAATGCAGCTTTCAACCTTCATTCAAAGATAGATAATTTTGTTTGTGATTGATACATTACGAATCGATAGCACTCGCGCTTCATCATTTCCATGTAATGAATTTTTCTTCAAAAAGGTGTTGTCATCAGCCGCGATGAAGACGCAAAAATGTAGACATTTTGCGATTCTGCTTTTCTGTCTACTTTAGATGCTAAGGTTCATGATGATTATGACTCGCGCCTCTTAAAGTCATCAAAGTCGTTGGAATTTTTCTCTGCAATATATCGTCACCTTCCAGGCAAAGTATCACAAGCGCCATGCGACGTTTAAAAATTTCCGCCGCCATTTTATTTCTTTACTGAGAAATTGCTGGTTGAATCTGTTTGGAAATTTCACCAAATTTTATCGGCAGCACAAAGAAAATTCAGTGAAATTTTCGGACAGCTTCGTTGAACAATTTCTCTGTAAAAAAATATAATGACGGCGGAAATTTTTAAACGTCGCATGGCGCTTGTGATACTTTGCCTGGAAGGTGACGATATTGTGAAATTCCTTTCGACGGACCTGGAATCGATACCCGTGTGCATCCTTAATTTCTTTTTTTAGAATTCCCTGACTGAAACATTTGAGTCCATTCTAAAAGCAGAAATGAGTATAAAATGTTGCTTTCCATAATTCCTGTAGTTGAGATCAGTGTGCTCAGCTCAGTCTCTCCAGCCTAGTGCATTAATAAGGTGATTTTAATATTTCTGTGTTGCAGTGGGATTCGCTCATTCAAGATACCATGTTAGCGCACGTGCAATGCATCCTTTTGATTGGTCCCAAAAAGCGGAAAGGTCGGAGATCACGTCGGTGCCCCCGTGCAACTAATTATGTTCTGCTCCCTAAAGCGTTCACAGAAATGCGCCCAGAAATTAAGAACTTTTTCCGGAAGAACAATATTGTAGTCATCACGGACTCGAGTGATCCACGAACTCTGTTAGCCAATTCCCAACGACCTTACAAGCTAGATATCTTCGAGTTTAGATTGGCCAACGTCGATGTCAGTCGTAAAATAACGGATCCAACAATCCATGTCAAAGAGGACAGGGACTTCATATCGCATAATAAAGAAGAGGCGCTCATTTTCTTCCCGAAAAGTGGGAACAACATAATAAGTTCCGATTACCTCGACTGGAGGAGAACTTTCTACCACGCAATCGACGATCGCAGTTTGAGATTCATAGAGGCATGCCTGTCTTATGGTGTTGAATTCGGATATGGACATCATGGCGGCGGCACTCCCATACATTTCGCCGTTAAGATGAATAGCCCGACTCTTCTGAAGATGTTTATAAGAAACGGGTACGACGTGGATAAACCTGCCACCAGAATGTTGGATCTCATCTTGCCCCTGCATCGTGCCGCAAAAGAGGGACAATTTGAAATTGTGCGAATTTTAGTGGAGAACGGAGCGAACGTGAATGCATTGGATATGTATTCAGAAGAAGATTCTTTCGTAGCAACTCCTTTATTACATGCATCCGCGAACGAACACACAAAAGTGGCGAAATTCCTCATTGAAAATGGTGCGGATGTGAATGCGGAAGAGCATATTCTCTGCAAATTCGAACTCCCGAGTCGTGCGCATCATGATAACACTCCTTTGGAGCTTGCTGCAAGTGGTGGCCACGTAGCAGTTGTTGAAGCTCTTCTTAAAGCTTCTGCTGAAATCGATAAGAAATGTGTGTCGCCGGGTAACTTCAACTGCGCCACGCCTCTTATGCATGCCGCTCGAAATGGTGATCTCGAGCTTGTCAATTGCCTTATTGAAAAGGGTGCTAATGTGAACGGTATCCAAAATATGAATCCCCACAATTATAACCGAGTTTGTGAAGATGAACCCGAGGGCTTTACTCCTCTGCACTCGGCTGTATTTGATGGGCATTCAGAAGTCGTGAAATTCCTTACAAGTCAAGGTGCTGATGTCAACGCGAGAGGTAGCTTCAATCATCGCCCTGTGCTAAGTGCCGCAGAAAATGGGGATATCGGTATGGTGAAGTTATTGCTCGAAGCTGGAGCGGACATCAACGCCGAAGCTCTTAATCCAGACTACGAGAGTAATATTCTGCTCATACCTTTGCGGAAGGAAAATCGAGATTTCCTTGATTTTGTTCTGTCTCGTCGCTCCGAATTGAGCGACGCTTGTATCTTGAGGGCTTTTTACTTCGCATTGCGAACAGGCTCGAATTTTTGCAGAGATCACCTCAACACTGTCTGCCCCCCTAATTTTGCTTTTAACGATGAGAATCTACAGAATGTTGACTCCGTAGCGTTGCTTCTCGGAGCAATCCATAAGAATAGGCAGGACTTGGTCGAGCAGCTGTTGAGCAGGGGTGTTGATGTGAACGCCGTTCGTTGCTACTGCCGCGACTCGAAATCCGAAGAGCACTCCGATATGTGCGGTGGTGCCTTGCACATAGCGGCCGCGTTCAATCTGGAGGGAAACATCGTGAAACTCCTGATCGAACACGGAGCTGACGTGAATCTACCGACTGATGACGGAATGACTCCCTTATACTACGCTGCGCACCATAATAATCAAAATGCTGTTAACATTTTAATAGAAAAAAAGGCCAATATCCGTGGTGACGCTGATCTAATAACGGAAGCTGTCGCCTCGTCCAGTGCGGAAATATTAGAAACACTTCTACGGAAGGGCGCAGATCCAATTATCACGATTGATACCACCTCGGCTCCGAGAGATCCAGATAACGGAAGTCCAGAGTTGGAACCGGAATATGAAAAAATGTCTGTTGCACTGGTAAGTGTTCGTAGGACGAATTGCGACTTAAAGAAATTGAAACTTTGTCTCAAATACGGAGAACCACATTTAGTCAAAAACTTGAGCAACGAAGATAAAACGGAGATAACTTACTTGCTGCGTGTTTCCATTCGTTATAAACATATAAGCGCATGCCAGACTCTCTTTGATTACGCTTTCAATTACGACCTTCCCTTCCTAACCATGTTTATTGAAGCTTTTGGCTCCGAAAATCTGGTAGGCTCTATAGATTTGTTCAAAAGTTTAGCTTGCTACATCGTCAAAATGGTCTCTGCTAGGGAACTGTTTCAAAGAAAAGATGTATCTAATTTACAACGCTTGGAATCGTTGATTCCTGATGATTATGTTTTGCAATGTAAGGCGGAGGTCCAAAAGATGCAAAATATGAAAGTAGGAGACACGGACGTGTCCTTTTTCGATGTATTGGTTCAAGATGTTTGTCTTATTTCTAACTATTTCCGGAATATCAGCATCGAGCGAGAATTTCAGACGGCTGCGTACAAGGATGAGTTCCCAATTTATGCGAGCATCTTAGAATGGCAATTTGAGAAAGGTGCGCACCGCAGGTACTTATTGAATCGATGTACCAATATCTTTGCCGCTTTATTTGAGCATTTCTCTGGGCTACCTAGTGATGTCAAGGAGATGATAGTCAATCTATTGGACAATCAGAATCTCCAAATGTTGTTAGCCTTATAGTCAGAATAATGGTGATTACCTACAACGCAACGGCTTAAGTTTTTTATTTATTTTCGATGACATTACTTCAACATTCAAGATCATTATATTTCATTTAAGAATATTCATCTTTAGTTCATTATTAACTAAAGAACTTATCGATCGACAAATTTATTTCTTTAAGTGTGCAAATTTTCACTCCTCTGTTTTTAGATTCATTTGTTCTGCTGTCAATTTTTTACATGCCTTCATTTAAACTGTAAACGAATTTATGTTTACAATAACTATTACGAATATATTATCCAGTATTAGGATCTCAAAAGAAGTCTCAATTGTGTGATGTAGTTATTTTTAATGTCACGTTTAATGCATATTTTCACGCAGTGTATGTCTTTTCACATCTTTCTGAGTAGCCATTGCTTCAAATAATGTATTCAATTTTTTCCTTTTCAAAATTTACTAAAATTGTGAAAATCTAGAGCGTAGTCTCGATGATTTAATATAAGTAAAAATGTATAGTTTTATTCGGCTATAATTCACATTGCTCTTCAATTTTGAATCTCTCTCATTAGTAAATTTTATCACTTTCCGTATTGGCTATTTTTTAATGTCTCTACCCTCCTAATCCTTAGCAAGTGACCATTCTAACTCGCCTAAGCATAATGTCAATGCCGATGAAAGGATCTTTTGTGGATCATTTGTGTGCTTTTTTGATAATTTTGTGCTAACATAGTGCCTATAGTTCTTTACATACTTAATGGTAAACTATTTTATACGGGTCAAACGAGTAAAACAGTGAATGGTTTTTTCTCATGTTCCCTTGTGCTTAAAATAAAAGGAGGCTAGAGTCGGAAGGGCATATCCTGATGTAATCAAGGTTGCCAGGTTGTGCCATTGAATCGAGATCGTTTAAATGAGGAATAGTGCTGACTTTTCAGCACAAGGCAGACAGGCAACAATGAATTGTGAGTCTCCGCCAGAATGCATTCATCTTTTGAAGGGGATCCATCCGAAAATTTCTATTGTTTTCTTCTCATATTCTAACTTTTTTTCCTATTTAAAGTTCCTTTAATAAGAAAAATTACATACTTTAAAATGCCTTTTTTTCTTACAAATTTGACAGCAAAATATATAAAGAGGCCACTGGGTAAAAGGGAAAGGTTTAAGGGAGAAGAAATACCGGAATCGCAATTTAATGCATATCATCATGATCCCCCCCCCCTTACATACAGCAAGACGGGCCAAAGCCTATTTTGTAGAGATAGTAGAGAGCGGCATGCATACAATTAAACCGATTAATCTCTTATTCTACCTGAGATAACTCAGAATTGAACCAGAACATTCTGATTTGTCCTCTTTGAAAAATTAAAGCATATAGGTAATCGTAAAGTTTTATCTTTATATTTTTTATTTATAATTTGATTATAAAACATAATCGAGGCATGCATTTTCCGCATTAATCCGTCAAAATGCTGCCAAAGCGATCCACGCAATTTTTGCATTTTAGACGTGATAGTGTCAATAAATATCCATAGTTATGTAACGGTGCGTTCCAACATTAAGCGCAAAGTTTTCGTTTTTTTGAAGAAAAAAATCTGATCGAATTGATGAAGAGGAGTAATTGAACTACATTTGGCAATCAGGAACTGCAATTTTTGGCTCATCTATGTAGAAACTGATGCGTGTGGGGAAACTAATGGTCAATGCATTTTTGTTTTAACCGAGCTAGAAACTATAGTTCCTAATTGGACTTCATTTTGCAAGTTGGAACTAAAACTTCCGGCTTATCTGTAAAAACACGTATGGACATAGGGAAACTGATGGTACACACACTGGGAAAAAAAACACATTGGATCTAGAGTCCAGGCTCTTGAAAACATCGACAAGAAAAAATACTCTTGATTCAATCGGGTTTTTGCTTGAATCAAAACGAAATCTGCTTAAATTAAGAGGCTTGGTTCTTGATTTAAGCTAGATTCTGATTAAATCAAGAGCACTTTTTTCTTGTCTATGTTTTTAAGAGTCTGGACTCCAGATCCAATGTGTTTTTTCTTTTCAGTGCACGTTGTTTTTAAATTGAGCCAAAAATTGTAGTTCCGAATCGCAAAATGCAGTTCAATTGCAAAATGTAGCCACTGTTTCTACGAACAGTTATCTAGTCTACATAATGGACCACTAGACAAGGTACGAATTTAAGCGATCTGATACATGTTTCTTAACCAGAATTTCACGTGAAAAACGATTCACACAACGAAAATTACGGAAAGCAACTCCTAACGAAGATATTAACGTTTTTATTTCACATTGGTTAGGAGAAATTCGAACTGCCCGCTCACAAGAAACTCAAAACTCTACGTGAGTCAAATCGCCCACTACAACGGTTTCAGCAAGCTTCTCAATCGAGCAATGTTCATTTCCCATCATGTGTTGTTCAAACTATTAGCAATTTGCTATAACTGAGCCAAAGCGTCAAGATTAAGGTTGCCAGATTTTTATATCGCAGAGACCGTCATGATATAACGTTTAGCGCACGATGTGAATTACGTAGAGCATTGTGTTTTCATGAGCGGGTGGTTTGAATTCACGCATTAAGAATCATTGAATATCTTCGTAAGGAGTTAATTTCGGTAATTTTCGTTGTGTGCATCGTGTTTTACATAAAATTTTGGTTAAGAAACATGTATCAGAATGCTGAAATTCGTACCTTATCTAGTGGTCCATTAGTATTTTCTTTGGCTGGTAGGAGCAGTGGCGTGGCGTGCTTTACGATCTATCAATTGATCTACCATTTGAATCTGTCGCAAGGGATCGATAAACAGATTGTTCACAACGAACCCCTTAACAAACGATTCTTTACCGTGGCTTCATAGGGGAAATATCGATAACCGATGACTCATGCCTCGCCACTGGGAGGTTGCCATCGATTAAAAAGTCGCAGAGCTGAAGTAAAGTCAAGGGACGATTTTTAATTATTGCTTTCATGCTTTGTGTGTCTTCGGCGTGCTCCTGTTATTTATGCACCCACGTTTTAATTGAATAATTACAGCCCACGTAGAAGATTAGAAGCCACGCTATCTGGCGGTAATAAATGCGCAACAATGGCGCATGCATCCATTGGTAGCTCTCATGCAAAAGCGCCTTTGCGCTGCACGTGCGTGCAGAAACAATAATAAAATTTAATCGAATGATCGAAGCGAGAGAATAAATAAAAACTTCTGGCTCCGTTGTCAGTTCATCCGATCCTATGCCATTTGGAACCGTTGCATGGAAGTTCCGCGAATAATTATATCGACTGAGCATGGAGTAGGAAAGAAAACCTGAAAATATAGGTTAGGAAAGCTAAAAATAAAGAAAGAAAAATGTAGTTCGTCCTAGGCTCATTTTAAACAGAAAAAACCTCTTTTTATTCTTTTTTTTTTTAAGGAAAAAAATCAAACTGCCCAATTGATTTGGCTACAGCTAATGTGGCTTGGTTACTTTCTGCTTAACGCGGTCGATTTGATTTTCCGTTTTTTAATTCAGTGTACATTCATTTTTTTTACTTATTTTTCAAAAAGTAATATCGTGCTGCTGACTGGCCAACGGCTCGTGATAGCGGTGAGAGCATTAAGTACTTTTCTGTATGAGCCATGATTAGCACATGCTTCAATATGTCTCAAGGTTCATCTCAGCCGAGTTATGTAATGCCCTCCGGAAGCGCTTCCTCTACCGAGGTAAAAGCCAGTGGCGTGGCGTGCTTTGCGATGTATCGATTGTTATGTCATTTAAACCTATGGAAAAGGATCGATAAACAGGGTGTTCGCAGCGAACACCTTAATAATCGATTCTTACGACCATACGTTTAAATGGCAAAACAATCGATAAATCGCAATTCACGTCACGCCACTGGGTAAAACAACAAAATGGTAATATTTATAAAGACTGGAAAAACAGGCATGCTCCATAGTTTAGAGTTTTCTTTGTTTTGAAACTAGACCCATAAAATTCGCAACGCATAACGAGGATTTGACAACAAATATGGGTGCAAGATGATGCGTTTTTAATGCAATCGGCTTTGAAGGCATCAAGTAGGTACGTGATTTCAGGCAGCTTCTGATTATAAAGGGGGGCGCTAAAGAGGTGAGCAGAAGGCAGGGGTCAAAAAAGGGGACGCCGCATGAGGGATCGAGTCAATGGAAGAGGCCGGACAAAACTTAGAAACTTTAAAAGCTTTTAATTCCGTTAAATCAAAACTTGGAGATTTTGAAAATAGTTCCATTGGTCTTCTCGTGAAATTTTCTTCCAGCAGCACCCCTCAAACTGTAAAATGTGCAGGGACAGATTGGTAGTCGAAAAGTTAGGAGGCGGCCTAAATCTGGGGGCCCGGGCCCCTCCTGTCGTTCGGGGGGCGCTCCCTCGGAAAATTTTGAAAATTTCACACTTTTCAAACGCAATTTTAAGCACTATTGGAGTTAAATTCTGCAGTACTTGAACTTCAAAGTAACCCATTCTCAGGATTCCTCGGGGGCCCCTTAACCTTATAAGCTTTAGGCGACCTTTCATGCCTCTTACGGGCACATTTTCAATGATTTTGGAGCCTTTTAGTGATTGTAAAGGATTGGAAAATTACAACATTACGGGGGAAAAAACGATGACTTGAAAAAAATTCGCCCCCCTTCGGAACCTCCGCGGAAAATTGTTAGGAGGCGATCGCCTCCCCGCCCCCATGGCCAGTTTGCCCCTGAAAATGTGACGAATTAAACATCTAAATTTGCAGTTTTAGTCAAAAATTTCATGTTCGACCTCGCTGATTTACTCGATCCCCTGTGCGCCGATTGAAGGAGAAGCGGAAGAGAATCACGGTGAGGGGCTTGAGCGATGGACAGGGAGAAGCTCTCAACTCCTCTGGAGTCTCCATAATCCACAAGAACGAGCGGGTTCCGACAGTGGCGTGACGTGCTTTGCGATATATCGATTGTAATGCCATTTAAACACGTGGAAAAAGATCGATAGACAGGGTGTTCGCAGCGAACACCTTAATAATCGATTCTTTACCATAGGTTTAAATGGCATACCAATCGATATATCGCAATTGACGCCACGCCACTGGGTTCCGAATGGGAGCAAGTCCATTTTGAGACGAGCTGAAGCATACTAGTCTCTATCCTATTCCAGGACTCATCCGTAAATACACATGCTCTCTTTCAGGAACAACTCGCTCACGAACGGTGGAACCATAAACGGCACAGGCACACCGGATGAGTTTATCAGTTCTAGCGGCTAAATTGAAATCTTTTTTCATTAAATAACTTGAGGCTCCGACTGATCGGGCCCGGTGGCGCGGCGTGCTTTGCGATACATCGATCGATCTGCCATTTCAACCTATGGAAAAAGATCGATAAACAGGGTGCTCGCCGTAACCTCCAATAATCGATCCTTCACCACAACTTCAAAAGGGGGAACATCGATAATCGACGATTCACGTCTCTCCGCCGATCGGGCCCCGGGGCGACAGGAAGCGGGTTAATTGATGAAATTGTAGCCCTAATTGAAGGCAAACAGTTGTAAAGTGTCGGATACACTGTAACTTGCTACTTTCCGAGACAATTTTTCA